GACATGTTGCTGCTTCTGCCCAGATGCTCCCCACTCCCTGCACCCTCCTCTTCACCCGCTGACTCCCACTTCACCTGCAAAGAGCAGACTCACTGTGGCTACACCCTGGAAGTCTGTACTGTCTCTGAGTGCATTAGGGTCCCTTTCTCCAGTTCACACAACCGCCTGTCTTTTTACACTGCTTCTAGCACTTCTCATCCTGTGGGCCAATGTCTGCCTTCCTGATGTCTCCCTGACTTTGACAATTCTGCGAGGGTAGGATTGTGTCTCTGTTAGCCTTGGGTAACCAGCTCACCGAGTAGTTCGGCAGGAGTACCCACTGTTTATCAGATCAGCCTCGCCTTCCTCCTGGGAAGAGCGGGATCCCATTTCCCGGACGCCCCGCCTCCTGGGTGTGGCCACGTGACCGAGTTCTGGCCAATGGGCTACGAGATGATGACGCAGCCACTTCCAGGCCCGGATCGGCATGCCTCCCAGGCTCGATGGGGGCCCAGGACGGACACAACCAGGATGCTCTTGCAAGCCACAGGTTTCAGACAGCAACGCCACAGACAGGAAGATGCTAGGAGACCAACTGCCTGCCAGTCGGAAGCATTCATTTTTGACTTGATATGAAAGACAGATACATTCTATTGTGTCAAGATCCTGAGAGGTGCAGGTCGTTACAGCAGTTCACGTGTCCTAATACAAATTCTCATTGGAGAATAAACACGAAATGGTTTTATTTTCCCAGTAACTATGCCTACCACTCCCCACCTTCCCTTTGAGTAGCAGCTTGCTTGATTTTACCCAGGGTCCACTCTTAGTTATTCAAACAGTCTCATTTAGGTTTCCAACCCTTAATTCTGCTCCCTCAAATTTTTGTGTCCCCTGTCCTGTACTGTGGCCCTCGGGGCATGGGGGGCTGGTGGAGCTGATGGGGGTTGCTTCTCCCAGACTCTTCCTTGAGCCGCGCGCCCTGGGGTGGGAAGGAGGCAGAGGGAAAAACAAACGTCCCCTTGCTTGCCCAGGCAGGCTGCCCTCCCTGGGTGATGGCGGTGAGTGGGGGGCGGGGGCTCCCTCCTAACCAGCTCCTCGGGGTACCAGAAGCATAACTGGGCACTCCTTATAACTCTTTTGTGAGTTCTGGCCCCAAATCTCAGCCGACTGCCTGCTGGTGGCATCTCGCCTCTTTGCCCCGCACTGTGAGGATTCCGGCGGGTCTGCAGCGGCATCTCGCCCTCTCTGCTCCCGCCGCGCTCAGGCCTGTGGTCCCACGGGGCTTCACATTCTGTTCCTCTAGGGCACTGATGCTTGGCGCAGGGTTTGTGCCTGGCCCACCTCTCTGCCTGGCAAAACTGCATTTGCCATCTTCCCAGTTTGATTTTCCCTGCCTGGTAACCATGCAAAGCAAATCCTGTGTGCGAGCAATATTCCAAGCAAGACACAAAACGCCAATCACTCCTTCTTTCAGCTCCCTTAAACCCCATACGTGGTCCTCCTGGGTGTTCCTGTGCTTCAGGGAGCAGAGCCTCACCTCCGCCCAAAGCAGTCGCTCCCTCTTCTCAGTACTCTGTGCACTGATTGCGCGGGGGCGGGGGGCAGCAGGCCATAGCTGCAGGACAACAGAAGTCCCACCGGCACTAACGCCCCCTTGCAACACCGCTCTCCCGCTGTCTTGCTGCGTGGCTGGACATGCCGGTTCTCGGATACTTTCGGAATCAGACGTATAGCCTGGCTGACCTGTCAGAGGTGGGCAGGAGAGCCTGCACCCTCTGTCCCGGAATTGGCAGGTCTGTCCACTAGATGGCGCTCACAGCAAAACTTTTCCTCATGTTTTTAATTCTATCTTGAAAAAGTGTCACTTTTCATATCGTTGAAGATTGCAAACAGGGCTATGACTTGAATGTATGTAGTTGGCTTTATGCATGATCATCCTTGGAATTCTATCACATTTCCAAGAGTTGCCAAGTTTTCACTCCTCTTGGGGGGCGGGGGTGGCCAGTGCTTGCGCTTCCTCCTCCCACCTTGCCCTAAATTCCCGCCTGAGGCCTGGTCCCTGGCCTTGGCCGTTAGGGTCCTTCCCGCTCCCGTTAGCTCACTGTTCCCAGTGCTCACCACCAAGCCCCTGTGGGACTGTGGGAGCCCCTTGGGAGCCCCTAGCTGCAATGACCACCACACCCACGCAACCTGCGGTTCACCTTTGCACTTTCCCCCCACCAGGGGCTGTGCTCAATGCAAGGGGACAGAGCATAGCCCTCTTGGTGAGTGACACTTCCTGCTCCTGTCCCCAGATCCTCAGCCTAGTGACTAAGCCTCTCACCTTGCCTTTCGCTCAGGAAGAAAACACCCCCAGACTCCTTAAGGGCAGAGACTGTGCCACGCTCATCTCTGGGCCCTCAAGGCCAGCTCAAGGCCGGGGACGCACTAGAGGTTTGCTGAGGTGGAAATGAGTAGGTTCCTTGGCCTTCTTGCCATTGCATGTTGCTGTGGCTTAAGGTGGGGTTAGTCCAACATTCTCATCATTATTGTTATTACTCAATTTTAGCCCCAACAAGGCCTATAGCTGGAGCCTCGGTCAGAAACTGCCACAACAGAAAGCCCACTGTCCTGGGATCAGGCTGACCGGGGAGGGTTGAGGGTCCCCTACCTGCCAGCTCCTCTACCCTGACTTCCCTGGGCCTGCCATGTCTTCATGGGCCGTGCAGCCTCCCAGGTCCCATCTGCCCAGGCCGATAGTAACATCCCAAATCAGGAGGTCCTGGGAGGGGCGTCACTCTAGGGCCCTGGGCAGCGCTGGCGCTGTGTTCTGCTCTGCAGATGTCTTTGAGCACTCCCCAAAGGCTGGCGGGACCCCTCACTGCCCACCACAGCCCAGCTTTCCCTGAGTGGCCTAGCAGGTGCTGGCCTCTGCCCCGAGGCCTTTGGGTGGCCGTGCATGCGGAAGCAGGAGAGCAGTGAAGGGTGGCTCTGGGGACCTGTGTGAACCTGGCGCTCGGCCAGGCCACTGTGACCGAGCTTGGGAGAAAGGGGTTTGGGGGTGTTTTGTCCCTAGACCTCCCCAGCCTGTGTGGGGAGAAGCGCTGGCACCTGCAGCAGGCCTCAGAGGGCTGGGCCTGTCGGGGGGCGAGGGCAGGCTCAGCGCGTGGCTCTGGGAGCCCCACACTGCTATCTGGCTGCGTGTCACTGGGCAAGTTGCTTATTCTTCCTAAACTCCAGAGTCTGTTTTTGTAAAATAGGTGTAAAAATACCCCCTATCTTAGAGGGACGTTTTGAGTATTGTGGGAGGCAGAGTAGTGGTCCACGAAGAGGTCCACGTTGTGACTCCCGGAATCTTGTGACCATGTGACCGTATTATGTGGCAAAGGGTCGTGTTCTCCTCCCCCCACGCCCAAGAGTCAGGGAAATCCTTACAAATAGCTCCGACCCAGACAGTGAACCTGCACACAGGTGATGTCCCCTCTGGTTCCTGGGGCGCACGCTCAGTGCCTTTCTGAACTGATGGTTGGGGGGTGTTGACCCCCACCCTCCGGTTCTGGCCTTGCCTCCCCCTGCCAGGCCCAGCCCCCCTCCCCAGATGGCAGGGCCCTGCTGGCCTCGCTGCCTGCATGTCTTCTCTCTTCGTTACAGAGACCATTTCAGTTCCACAGGCAACCCAGCCTCTATTTTCCACACCATACCCTGGGATCCCTCTGTTCCCACCTCTAATGTGCAGTTTCATTTCCAAGTGAAACCACAGGTACTTGAATTTTGCACAGGGTCATGCAGTTGCGGAGGGTGTTCTTGCCTTTCAACTTCAGCCTGTGCCCCCGAGAACTACAGTATGAACAGGGCCAAGGGGACACAACCCTGTCCCAGGCTTGGGTCTGTTTGCTGCTGCTCCCAATGGGCTGCTGCCTGTGGCCTGAGCCTGGGCTGACCCATCCCTCAGTGGACAGCCAATAGCCAGGCCATTTCTTGGAGTGGTGGGGGTGGCCGAACTACTCTACATCCAACCATAAACCTCCTGGCTCACAGACCCCCGGTGAGACCCTAGAACACTTGGTTCACAGCCACCACTTCCCACAAGTATGTCTAAACCCAGCTGATGCCCTCGGTGCCTTTCCCAGAACCCCCCAGCACTCACTGTTCCCGTCATGCTGGTGGCCTCCTTCCTCAAGCATCTGCAACCATCCCTGACCCTGCAGGCCTTCTCTGTCTGCAGGGAGTTTGGTCCATGAGTAGGACAGGCCAGAAATGGCAGAGTTAACTCCCCGGGGAGCAGCTCTCAATGACTGATGGGTGAGAGTTGGCAGGACCCCCAGCCCCCTCACTCCCTGGGTGAGACTCCTCTGAGGCCTGCCCTGCACTGTCTCCAGAAGCCCTCCTGGGAACTGACTCCCTTCCCGATGCTTCCCGGGAGCACCTCCAGAACAAACTGCTCGGATCCTTGTCCGTGGGGGCCAAACCGTAGAAAACACTGCCTGACTGCAGAGCTGGGCCCGCCGCGCACACACGGGCTCCTCTGCAAGGCGCTTCCACTTGTAGCGGAGGTCATTAACAAACACGCTGTCACATTTGAAACTTTAAAAAATTGTTTCGTAACTGCTAACATGATAGCAGTTCTTTAGGCAAAATTATTTCTCTTCCTCCCACCACATTCCAAGTCTCTGTTTGGGATTCACGATAGCCTTATTTAAGCACACTGAATCTGTGCTAGCATTTCTGCTGGCCTCATTTCCAGGTGTTGCGTTTGGACCTTTACCCCAAGATGTCCCCGTTAATTGGCTTCTTCCTTTGTGTTTATCATGAATTTAAAAATCCACATTTTCCTCTCACCCAAAAGCTAATTGTCCAGATAATTGATTGGATTTTCCAATTTCTTCCCCCGTGTGCAGTATCCTGTAGATGGGGCCCACACTTCTGAGCTGTGCTTGGAGACAGTGCTCGGGATCCGCCCTTCCCAGGTCAGGGGGGTGGCGACACCCCCAACAGGGCCTCCAGGGCCACTCAGCACAGAGCTGAGAGGTGCTCAGGCCTACCTGGGCTGATCTCAAAGAGGTGCTTCCCTGGGTCCTCGGGGCCAGGAAGAAGTTCGGTCACTTGGGTCCCTTGTAGAGAAATAAATCCCTGAAATGGAGACAAACACAAACGCAGGGAGCATGAGACGGCTGGGAAAGGGCTGCTGCCGTCAGGCCTCTGGAGAGCCGAGGGTAGGGGCCCAGGGCGGGGCCGAGCTCTCCAGGCCATGGCCGGGCAGGCCGGGCCCCAGGAAGGAGCGCAAGCCTCCTTTCCCAGGCAGCGGACCAGGATGGATGGGGCTCAGGGTTCCCAGGCGGAGTGGGTGGGCGCTGCTGTCTGCAGAGGCCTGGGAGGAGCTCTGCCCTCAGGCAGGGCCCAGCCTGGAGCAGGGAGGGAGGCGCACATCACTGGGGCCCGATTCCAGTGTGCCCATCCGTAGCCTCTCTGGTCAGCAGGGTTTTCAGCTGCAGAGGGTCAGGGACAGGAAGGCTGGCACACTGGGGCTAGGCCCCTAAGGTGACATGGGGCTTTGGGTCCCAGCCTTGCACGTCCCGGCTGTGTGACCTCGGGTAAACCATTTAATTTCTCTGAACCTCAGTTTCCATGTCTGTACAATGGGACAGTAACTCTCACTTCTCAGGAGGGTTGAGATGTCAGATTCCTGTTCGGTAAGTCCTTCTCAAGGGGGCGAGGTGCTATCATAACACCTCGACTCACCCTTCCCCAGCCTCCAGGCCAGGCAAGGCCTCCTTCATCCTCCTGTGTGTTAGTGAGTTTGATCTCTGCTGAAGCCTTTTCTCTGTCGTTTTGCTCAACTTAGACTGCTATGGCTTGACTACACAGTTTTGGTTCTCTCCATGGGAAAACCATTACTCTATCCCTGTAGCCAATGACCTGGGTTCAAATCCTGGCTCAGCTACAATACATCAATTAACCTCTCTGTGCCCCAGTTTCCTTATCTGTGAAACAGGAATAATAATGGTAGTTTGTGGGGCTGTTTTGAGCATTAAATGAATTTGTATTTGGGAAGTTCTTAGAGCAGTGCCTGGCACATAGCGAGACTGTTTTTGCTATCACTGTTTTCAGGCCCCCACACCCAGTGGGACACCACATCCCCGTGTTTACACTTGCCCAGGTGAGGGGTGATGTCTCCTGCTTTACCCAGGTGGCCTCCAGCCCCCAACCCCATGCATGTTCCCAGAGTGGTCCTCTCCCCGCCCCCATCTTTCCCGGGCATGTGCTGGCTTTAACAGGGTGAGTGCAGCCTTCCACGTGCTGCCGGAGTCTTGCTGCAAGGACACAAGGAAATGCCTTTTCTCATTTAAGCGAAGTAAAGGCAGGACGACATCTTTCCTCACAGATGCTGCTTTAGAGAAATTACAGCAATAAACCAGACAACCAGCTGGTAATCGTCGTAACTGAATTAATGGTTACTTTCTTGCTGGCGAACCTGGAGCTACTGGAAATAAGTTAGGATCACAGCCGCAGGATGGGGAAACGTGCTTATTAGAGGGCGTGGGCGAGATCCGTCACCGGCTGGTGGGACGTGTCTCAGGTGCTGCTGTTTCAGTAACCGAGTCTCTGTAAAATTCTCAGTACTTTGCTTTTTATTTTCTGTGCCCCAATATCTGTCGTCCACAAAATGGGAGTAAAAATATTGACATTGACATTACTTTCTACTCCGGCTGACTGGAGAACAGTAACCGTTTCTGTGTGCGAAGCTTCTGCTATCTGTATTTCTGGTTCTTTGCCTAAATTATTGGATTTAATCTAGAGGCCCCAGTGGGTGGGCACTACTATTCCCATCTTCCCAGACAAGCAGACAGAGGTCAGAGAGGTGGAGTGACCTGCCCCTGTGCCCCACCGCTAGCAAGGGTGTGCTGGGATGTTGCCCGAGGTGGCACCCCATTCCTCCCACTTTGCTCCCCTACATTTGTAATAGCTGCCAGTGGTGGGCTTTGTGTGCAAGAAGCCGCGTGGAGAGCCAGGCTGTGACTTTGGGGTCCACTGCTCACCTCGCAGTGAATCCCAGTGTGGTCCCCTCCATGGCCGGAGCCCTAGCACTGGCCCCTGGCTGCCCACATCCCTCTGCCTCTCGCAGGTCAAGGACGTGGCTCTGATGCCAGGGGCCCAGCACCGGGGGCGGGGGCAGAGGGCATGGTAGCAGGGGGAGTATGCGCTCCCATTCCCGGTAGGTTGTTGGCTAGGGCTTTGATGAAAGGTGGGTACGGAGTCAGCATGGAGCATCCAGCTCAAACATCCGGGGTAGGTTTCAACCTTGAGCTTGCCTCGGCATTCCCCCAGGGCTTGTTAAAACACACAGCTGGGCCTGGTGTTAAGGGGGTGTTTGACGTGGACTCTCTGCAAAAAGATGGAGCACCCTGATCTGTAGTGTTTGCCAAGCTCTGTTATTAAGCACTGCTCCCCTCCCCCAAGGCCACAGAAGTCAATTACCTCAAAAGCACGGGGTATAGTACATGAAGCCAGACAATTAGGAAGTGATACATTTTGAGTACTTATTGCCTTTTTTTACTATAATTTATTTAATTGTAGGTTTTTGTGATTTAATTTCTAATAAAGGAAATATTCTACCAGAATAGCACTAGACCCCACCCTGAGGTTTCTGGGTCTGTAGGTCTGGGAAAGTTTTTGCATTTCTAACCGGTTTTCCAATGCTGCTGGCCCTGGGGAATACACTTTGAGAAACACTGGTCTAAGGGCACTGGGAGAAGGAAGCCGGAGGATGGTGCCTTTGCCATGAGCTTACTCAGTGCCTCAGTGTCCTCACCTGGAGAGCGAGGATGACAACGGCATCCACCTCATGAGGCTGTCGTGAGGAAGAAATGATCTGATATCTGCAGTGGCCTTGGGCAGCCGAGTCTCGGCTGAGATTCTGTGCCTTGGACAGGTAGGTCGCAAGGAAAAGTACTTGCCTCTAGCCCCTCAGACAGTGCCCTTGACCACAGGGGTCCTGGGAGTCCCCTGAGGAGCCCAAAGTGAGTGTCAGCTCCTTTCTGTGGTGCCATGTCGGGGTTTGAACGCTTGCCTTTGGGAAGGGAGCAGGCACATGGTTTGCACCTGAAACTGCACTGTTTGCAGACGGGCACCTGGGTATAGGAAGAGCGTGTGCAAACTCCAGGTGCATGGCAGGTTCCCACAAAAGCTGGACCCTTTCCTCCTTCATGGGTGTCCGAGCTTCCGTACATTTGCTCCATTGGGGAATTGTTCAGCCTACATATCTAAGTTTATCCGGAGAGGCTGCAGCTCACTTAATTTCTCTCTAGCGCCACGTGATACAGTCCACTGGTATAAGTGACTAATGAACAAAGGACAAGCCATTCTGTCTGCATCCAGCAGGGCTCACCCCAGGCCTGCTGCTGTCTCCACCACCCCTCCTTGCCTGCCGTGTGAAAGTGCTGCCTGTGGGGTCTGTGGGCAGCAGGTGGCGCCCCAGACCACAAGCTCTAGAAACTCCTCTGCTCAGAAAGCAACCTCCAGGAGATGGGTAGGGGATGCCCAGGAAAGAGTTTATTTCCTAGATTGGTGACAGTTTAGAGGTTTATTCAAAATTCATCATTTCCATGGCATATTAAATACAAACTCCAGGAACACTGAAGCCGGAGGGGAAGTAGCTTAGAGATCAGTAGAGATCAGAACTTGCTCCATCTCATTTGTCTAAAACCATCAACGGGGAGCCAGGATGTGGAACAGCTCGCTGGCGCTAGTGAAGATGCTCAGGATTCAGGAAGCCTGTGTCACATTCCATATGTACTGGCTGCCTGTTAACCACATAACACATCGCCCCAAACTTAGTAGCTTAAAACAACAATAAACGCTCCTTCTCTCAGAGTTTCCGTAGGTCAGGAATTTGGGAGTGGCTTAGCTGAGCGGTTCTAGCTTGAGCTGTTTCATGAGGTGTCAATCAAGATGTTGGGTGGGGCTGAAGACACCCGGAAGCTTGAATGACACCAGAAAATATATTTCCAAGATGGCTTGCTCAGTGGAAGCTAGAAAAAAGACTTAAACTTCTAGAGGTGAAAATACAATTTGTGAATGAAAAACATAGTGGATGGGATTAACAGCAGATTTGAAATTGCAGATGAAACATTAGTGAACTTAAAATATAGCAATAGAAACTATCCAAAATGAAACATAGAAAGAAAAGGTGATCTGAAAAAATGAGCAGATCATCAGTGATACGTGGGACAACTTTAAGCAATCTAATACATGTGTAACTGGATTCCCTGAAAAGTGGGGGAACTGAAACATATTTGAAGAAATAACACCCAAAACTTCTCCAAATTTATGAACACTATAGACCCACAGATCCAAGAAGTTCAATGAACTGCACACACAAGGAACATGAAGAAAAAGTCCATGAAGGCATAGCACAATCAAATGGCTCAAACCCAACTATGAAAAGAAACGCTTATAAGTAGCCAGAGGAACATGAGGCTGGAATGTCAGAGGAATAAAGGCGAGGAGGGCGGCAGACTTCTTGTCAGGAACGATGCAAGTGAGAAGTCAGTGGGGCAACATCTGTAAAGTTCTGAAAGAAAAAACTATCCACCCAGTATTCTGAATGCAGTAGAAATAGCCTTCAAAAATGAAG